CCCCCCCTGATGTTTTTTTCTAACTCTTCACGGTGGCCGTAGGTCACTTGTGTGACCAAGAGAAGGGCTGTTTTTAATTAATATGAGTTTTGGGGGGACGGGGGGCAGAATCGCTGAGTCTTAGCCACACGCTGAAGCCCGTGGGGGGGGACATCGGGCTGCGGGGCCCTGGGAGCTCTGGCAGGAGCCTGGCTCCCTGCGGGGACTCTGGCCCTTGGCAGCCTCCAGGCCTGGGGAGCTCACAAAGGCAGTTCCTGTTCAGAGGGACGACCGAGCCCACAGGCTGGCCCCGGGCCTGGCCGCAGGCTCCCTGCTCCAGGCCTGCCTCGGGGCAGGAGCTGCACACAGATGCCACATGTCACCTGCAGGGCATCCAGTACCTCATTGAGCACAAGCTGCTGACCCCGGACGTCCAGGACATCGCCCAGTTCCTGTATAAGGGCGAGGGCCTCAGCAAGACGGCCATCGGCACCTATCTGGGGGAGAGGTGAGGGGCTGGGGCTCAGGGAGCCAGGAACCCAGGGGTGCAGGGCAGGGAGAGTGAGCCGCGGGAAAGACCAGGCCCAGCGCCCGCCGCGCTGCGCCTTCCTTCATTTACTCAGGACAGTGCTGAGCAAGCCCGGTGGCTGCTGGGCTCCAGGCACTGTGCAAGTCCCGGGTTTCCAAGACGGACCAAACTGGCCTCAGATCCCAACACATAATATGTCATAAAATGATGAGTTCTGTGGAGACCAAAGGGAAGGGAGGTCCAGGAGCTGAGGACCTGGCTTGGGCTGTGGCTTTAAATAGTGTGGACAGGAAGGCTCCCAGGGAAGGACGGGCATGGGCAGTGCACAGATTCCAGGCAGAGAGATCAGCCAGTGCAAAGGCCCTGGGGCAGAAGCAGGCTCAAGAAACAGCACGTTGGTGAGACAGAGATAGGAAGAGACAGAGGAAGGCTCCAGGAGGTGGGTACACAGCCCCGTACCTCTGCCCTCCCAGGGACCCCACCAACCTGCAGGTCCTCCAGGCCTTTGTGGACTGCCACGAGTTTGCCAACCTCAACCTTGTCCAGGCCCTCAGGTGAGCCGTGGAGGGGGCAGAGTCTGCAGGGTGGGGACATGGGGACCCACAAGCCGACCGCAGCCACCAAGGGTCAGGCATGAAGACGAGGAGCCTGCCACCGAGGTCTGCTATGTCCTCATCCCCAACCAACCACTAGAACCACCCTCCTGCCTACACCTCTGGAGCCCGTCTGCCCAGGGACAGTCCCAGCTCTGCCTCTCACGCCCTGTGTGACCTTGGGCAAGTCACAAAAAAGAAACCTCTCTGTTTCCTCCTCTGTAAATGAGCCCAAGAACAGGGCAGGCTCCCAGTGGTGTAAGGACCAAGGAGGCCGTGCCCAGGGGCCACAGGCAGAGCCCAGGGCCCAGTGGCAGGAGCAGGGGAGCCCTGGGCCCCGTGGGCGGGGGCTGGGAGTGTGAGGGCCTGGAAGACAGCTGCAGATTCTCTGGATCTCGCCGGGAGGGGACAGGCCTGGAGGGCAGTGGCTTTCTGGGGCCCGCCGTCTGCTGCCCACCGCCCTCTTCCTTCCCCAGGCAGTTCCTCTGGAGCTTCCGGCTGCCCGGGGAGGCCCAGAAGATCGACAGGATGATGGAGGCCTTCGCCGCCCGCTACTGCCTCTGCAACCCCGGGGTCTTCCAGTCCACAGGTGCGGAGGGGGCCGAGGAGAGGTGGCAGGGAGTGAGGGCACAGGAGCGGGACCAGAGCATCCCCTCTGTCTGAGGGTAGGGGCAGGACGGCTTCCTGGGGGGTAAGGTCTGAACAGGGTTTTGAAGGATGAAGAGGAGTTTGCGGAGGTGACGGGGAGGGACTTCTCAGCACAGGATCTGAACCGCAGTCCGACTGGTTTGTGGTTTTGGAAGCTTGGGCCTGTGACCTCACCTCCTTGTGCCTCAGTTTCCTCACCTGTGAGATGGAGGTGGGGACGGCACCTGCCTCGCAGGGCCGCACAGGCCGGTCAGGAGCTTAGCCTGGGGCAGTGCTGTGGGAGGGGAATCGCGCTCTGGACCCGAGCTGCTGAAAGACTCACCTCAGACGCAGAGCTGAAGGTCAAGGGGTCGGGGATTCCCGGGCTCTGGGCCCAGGGACTGGATATTCCATAAAAGACCCAGAATAGCGACCACGGCCCCCAGAGCCCCAGCCGGCCCCGCCCCCAGCACAGGAATACTCCCCAGGGGGCAGCAAGGTCACTGAGCCCCAAATCCTGCCAACCCTCAGTGCTCCAGCTGGCGGGGAGCGGTGGGCCGCTGGCGGGGGAGATGGAGCCGGTGCTGGGGGACGTTCAGTGGAGGAGAGGACGGAGGGCGTGGGGCGCCCAGGGAGGGCCGGGGCGCGGCTGGGGTGACGGTGGCCGGGAAAGTGGTTTGTGTGCACAGAGTCCAGCAAGAGCAGGGCCCAGGCCAGGCCTCAGGTGCCGGGCCAGGGGCAGAAGGGGCTGAGTGGCCCTGGCAGGCCAGAGGTCAGCGCCATGACCGCGTCCTGCAGACACCTGCTACGTGCTGTCCTTCTCCATCATCATGCTCAACACGGGCCTGCACAACCCCAGCGTCCGCGACAGGCCGCCTTTCGAGCGCTTCGTGTCCATGAACCGCGGCATCAACGACGGCAGCGACCTGCCCGAGGAGCAGCTCCGGGTAAGGGTCAGGGCCACCGCGGGGTCCCGGGCAGCCAGAGGGGCCTGTCCTGAGATGATGGCCTGGGGGCTCCCCGGCACAGGCCATGCCTGGAGGGGACGTGCTGCGGTGGACCCGCCAGGCCCCGTCTGGGGAGGACCTCTGCAGCCAGCCCACCCACAGGCCTCCCAGGTCAGGCCCCTGGGGGACGCGGGCGACGGCATCCACACCTTCCAGGAAGGACGCCCCGCAGACCAGGCTGCCGCTTGCAACCCCAGAGCCTCACCCTGACCCGCTCCTCGGAGCCCAGCTCCTGTCCCCTAGGTGATGGCCCTCCTGCCACAGGGCACCAGGCCTGTGCCCACGGGGGCCTCGGGACAGCTGGACAGGCCCTGCCTGACCACGTCCAAGGCCTGGCAGGAAGATCTACCCGTGAAAGACAGCCCTGGCTCACTGATGCCACACTAACCCTGGGACCCGGGCACCACGGCCGTGAAAGCCCAGGGACACTGCTCAGTCCCCCGGGAGCCTCCCCAGAAGAGGTGGCTTCTGAGCTGGCCTGGTCCCGACTGGGAGCTCCCAGAGAGAAGCCGGAGGACATTCCGGAAGGAAGCAGCACCAGGGCCCGGCCTGGCTTGGCCGGGAAGGGGAGGGGCCAGTGTGGCCAGCTGAGGTGTGGCTACTGGGGGCAGGACGGTGGCAGGGGCCCCATGTCCAGGGCCTTGAATGACAGAGACACGGAACCAGGGGTCGATAAACACGGGAGGGAGGGAGGGAGGGGCGAGGCCTGGTCAGGTGAGCGGGCAGTTCCCGCCCAGAACTCGAGGCCCCGCGGCTCCACGGCCCAGCGCCCACCAGGGTCCTCCTGCCTCGGGGCCTGGCGGGGCTGCGACGGTTCTGGGCCTCGCTTCTGGGCCTCTCGGGGCTGGAGTGCATCCTCCCTCGCCCTCCGCCACCTCTGGCTGCAGCTCTGGTCAGCCCCATGTCCCCCATCTGCCCACTGGGTGACCTCAGGTCACTGGGGTCTAAGCTAGGGTCTAGCCAGGGCAGCGGGGTTCTAAGGCCCGTCACAAGGAGGCCACTGCAAGGGGGAGGGTTAATTCAGAGGCAGAGCCTGCCAGGTAGGTGCCTGGGCCCGCACACCTAGGCCACGGCAGGTGGTGAGCTCCGCGCCGCCAGCCCTCCCCGTCCAGGTCGCTGTCCTTGCCAGGACCCTCTTCCCACCTCCCTCCCTGGGCACTTCTCCCAGTTCCAGCCTTTCCTCCAGAGCACTCGGCCACATGTGGTCACCTCTGCCCAGAGCTTGGACTTTCTCCCAGGGCTTTGGGTCCCTTATCTCCACTGAGCCTCCAAATCCGCGGACCTGCCCGTTCTCCTCCCGGGCAGAGCCTCGTCCAGCCCGGGCTGCCCGTCCCCTGGGCCGTGTCAGGCCAGCACTTGACCTCTCTGAGCACGTCCAAGGGCCTGGGGTGGCCGGGGTGGCTCGTCAACCTCGAAGCTCCCCTGGGCGTCATCAGAGAGCACAGGCCTGGTCTGCACCGTCACAGGGGCCTGGTGGATGTCATCTGCTCTCAGGACCAATGACCCTGACCCACAGTGTCGTCTGAGAGGCTGCGTCTGGCACTCAGCGGGACCTGGGAGGGTCACCATGCTCCCTGGGAGCCACTGGGAAGGGGGCCGGGGGCAGGGGTGGGGCCACGAGGGACCCGGGAACAGGTGGGGAGGTGGAGGCGGCCAGGTGGAGGGCCTCCCAGCTCGGGGCGTCCTCTGCTTTCTACGTCCTGGTGGCCGTGAGCTCCCGCCTCCCCACTGGACAGCCAAGGACACTGGGCTCCGGGGAGGAGGCTGCCCAGGTCTCCTGGCTTCTGAGAAGTCCCAATGCAAGGCCATGCTGGACCCAGAGCACCTCCCTCTGCAGAGATGCCGAGCAGAGTCTGGGGACAGAGGCCCAGCTGAGCTGGCCCGGGGTCCTTACTTCTTTGCGGGGGGAATCTCAACTCATGTCGCTGAAAAGACCAGGGTCAGTTAGCCTTCCGACGGTGGGCTTCAGGCTCGGCTAGCTCCTGGGGCTCAGGGCCGACTCTGCTCCACCTGGGGGCTCCACCTCTTAGCCCCCCTCCTCCATGGCTCTCCTCCTAAACACGCTGTGCCCGAGCCGTGCCAGAGAGGGCCTGGGCAGCTCTGAGCTCGGGCTTGCTTAGCTTCCCTGTCGCTTCACTGTTTGAGTCCAGAATTGAGGCTTATCGACCGGCTTGGGTGGCAGGACCCCCCCTGAACCGTCACTGCAGCTGCTGGTAGGAGCCAGCAGGTCCCCATCAGCCAGATGTGAGTCATCTCCCCTCCAGAGCCCAGGGCGGGGTGTCAACCCCTCTGAGCAACCAGGAGAAGAGAGGTGACTCCCCAGAGAGGGGAGTGGGGGCCACCAAGGGCCCAGCAGAGCCCCTGGGGGGGAGGGGGCTTCTGCACGTCCACGCAGCCAGGAGCGGGTGGCTGGGCCGTGGACTTTGGGGACAGTGGTGGGGGTGTCTGGCGGGGAGCCGTTGTTTGTGAGGTACAGGAAGCCCGCGAGCAGAGCTGCTTTCTTTGTGGGGTACAAGGTACAAGCTGATAAGGCCACCAGGCCACCGCAGCGTCTGCAGGGCCCCTGTGGTCTGTGGAGGCTGAGGCTCCCTCCTCCCCCCTGTCCCCCTCCCCCTGCCCCCCCATATGCACGTCTGCGCTGACATCTCTACCATGGGCCCCTCCTGCTGCAGTCCCCTGCTCCCCCCACCAGTGCCACCTGGAAATTCCCAGGGTGAGTCCAGCCTGGGGACAGGGGCTCCCCCAAGAGACACTGGTCCCTGCTGCTCCCCACGGCCCAGCACTGCAGCCAGGCGGAGCCCAGGGGACGTGCCCAGGCCCCCCTCCATGAAGGCCAGGAGAGCCTGGTGCCGGCCTGTGCCCCCGCTGGGGCCTGAGCTCTGGGTCACAAAGGACCACACAGCGGCCAGCACCATGTTTAAGGACTTTGGGAGAATCAGACAGGACTTGGGTAATTTTCCATTAAAGTCTCGAGGAACCATCAACAGCAACAGAGGCAGCAAACGGAAGTGGTTGACTCTCTTGGCCAACATCCTGTCTGGCTTTACCAGGCAGAGCAGCCACCGAGAATGCTCCCCGACACTCGGGAGGCGGGCAGGTTGCTCAGGGCAGGAGATGGAAAACCCAGCAGCTGCAGCTTGCCCGCCCAGGGGTCCTGGCCCTGACTTGCTCACCTCCAGTGACGGGGAGCTCATTACCACCCTACAAGTTGCTCGGCCCAGATTTCAGAGCCCTCGCTGCCAGAACGCCTTCCACGGAGAACTGAAATCTGCTTTCCGGTCCCCGCAGTCAGAGCCCACCAGACAGGGCGGCGGGAGAGGGCCTTGGAGAGCCGTGGTCAGCCTCCCGCCCGGGGCTCCCCTTCTGCCAGCCCAGTGTGCATCTGGAAAGTTCTGTCGCAGAAGAGGGGGCCATCCACCATGGCATTGCCCGAGGGTGCCCTCACTCTGGCTGCTGTGCCTGGAGTGTGTGTGTGTGCGTGTGGGTGTGTGCGCATGTGGGTGTGTATGTGGGTGTGTGTATGGTGTGTATGTGTGCCTGTGTGTGTATGTATGTGCGTGTGTGTGTATGTATGTGGGTGTGTGTAGGTATGTGTGTG